GAATCCAACTTCTATACATGAAAGCTAATTTAATTTCAGTACTTTTTGTTTCTCTAATTGTTTATATTTATATAGTCAGGTGACTGGCACAACAAAGTAAGTCAAAGGTTACCGTGACTCACTAGAAAAAAAAACTTTAACTAAACTTTAATATCTGACACAGCTTTAAAGGTCAAGTGTAATTTAAAAAAAGCACTCATGTCACTCGAACTTTACCCCGTATTAAACTAATACATATACATAATACAATAATACATATTTAATAAAGCGTAATTACTACGCTCAATGCGTATTTCTAGTTTCTAATAAAAAAAAAAAGGGTCATATTTCACCTGGTAGCAGCTGCAGAGAGGACCTGTCCTCCTCCAGAGACATTTTTAAGCCCAGAAACAGTCGGTTTGACCAGTCTTCTTAACATCTTTGTACCAAACAACAGCGAAGACCAGCAGAAGAGAAAGTGTATGAACAAAGAGCTTTAGCACATGGACAGATGTACCACTCGTTGTTTTTTTTTTCCCCAGAGCTCAGTCTGACAAAGCAACGACAGAGATTTTCGTCAAATATTTTATTTCTGTTTTACTTATTAGTACGTTTTATTTCCGACCAATTAATTAACATCTTAAATATTTGCTGTCTTTTCCTTTAAACGCATAACAAACTAAACATTTTTGCACCTTTAACAGTTTTTGTTCACCAAATATTTAACAAAGTGAGACCTCTAACATTTTAGAATCTGCGTATTTCTTCCTTGCCTAAAAGATAAAGCTTCTTTCACCCGATGCTGGTTTGCTGCCATCTATTGGTAGCTACTGCACAAACTAAAACATAGCTTTTAATAAGCGTTTTATTGGTGAGCTATTTTATACATTTTAAAATTTAATTTGGTCTTTAATGCTACAAATGAGTTGTTTTTTTTAAATGTTTGCTTTATTACATTAGTTACCTGGTAGTAAAAGTATAAACATTTACTCATGTAACCTGAGTTATTGACCTTTGATTTCTACTCAGCTACTACTCAACAAAAGCATTTTTTTGATTGAATATTACCTGGATGGGGCGGCACGGTGGCTCAGTTGGTAGAGCTGATGCCTCTCAGCAAGAAGGTCACCGGTTCAAATCCCGGT